AAGTGCTGGATACGCAATTGGCGAAAATTCAACGTCAGGGACATTTGATCTATATCTTCTCAGCACTGCTTGTGGTGATCGCTGTATTAGCTTATTTCGCATTTAGGGAGTACAGGAGGAAGAAAAAGAGTGAAAGACATGTGAAGCATCAGAACGAACGTTTGGTGGCCTTAAATGACAGCTTAGACAGTTTTGTGTATCGAGTGTCGCACGATTTGAAATCTCCGGTGATCAATGTCAAGAATATGATCTCTATGTTGAAGGAATATCAAACCGATGATCAGGATCCGTTGGTGCCGGAAATTATTAAGAATCTTGACCTTTCTTCTCACCGATTGGAAACGACAATTACTGATTTGTTGGAGTTGTCAAGAATCGAAAGAGTAGAGGAGGAGAAGGAAAAAGTAAACATTCGTGAAGTATTTCATGAAATCCTGCCTGAATACCAGGAACAGATTCAGCGCATTGGAGGAGAAGTGGTGGAGAGTTTTAACGGTGGAGAAATTTTCTACGGTTCGAAAGCGGAAATGAACAGTATCCTTCAAAACTTGTTGACCAATAGCATTAAATATCGTTCAGAGAATCGCGCATTACGCATTGAGATAGGAACAAAACCAGATAAGGAAAAGATGATGCAAATGACCTTTGCGGATAATGGTCAGGGATTGGATCTAAAACAATTTGAAGGAAAGTTATTTGGAATGTTTCAGCGTTTCACGTCAGACACTTCCATCTCCGGAACGGGTGTAGGAATGTACATCATTAAAAAACTGGTAGACAAGAACAAAGGAAAAATTGTGTTGACAAGTGAGCCGGATAATGGCTTAAAATATTCAATCTGGTTACCTTTGAGAAAAGAGCGGCCATGAAAAAACGAAAACACTTACTACTTGTCGATGATGATCCAACGACAAATTTTTTCAATAAACATTTGGTGCAAAAAATGGAATTCTTTGAGAATATCCATGAAGCGATGAATGGTCAGGAAGCACTTGGAGTAGTTGAGAAATTGATGGATCAGGGAGAAGTTCCTGATATGATTCTACTGGACATCAATATGCCGATTATGAATGGTTTTGAATT